GACTAGCACGTAGCACGGACACCCTTCGTTGAGGTGCCCAATCCCGGAAAAAGCTGGTTCCCCAAAGGCACGCGGCACGGCCTTTCCTTCTTCGATAAAGCTATGATCTGGTCATTTCGCACGGCTACGGCGTCGGGTTTGGCTGAAGGCGGAATTTCAACGTCGCCCCCAGCCTGCCCAGCTGTGTGACACCGCAGCGAGTACCGTCCACCTATGGGACGACGGGCCACATGTACCCCTCACAACGATGTGTTCAGGTGCAGCCATTAGCTCCCACCTCAGGGAACTCCAAAATGACTCCAAAGACGCCCAGCTTGAGCTTACATAGGCCCCCATATCACTCCCCAAAGTCCCCCAAAACACCCTCACCCCTTTGGGAGGGTGCGTTCAACTGCCCGGCGTTCAAAACGGCATGGAACAGCGGTGCACCGAACCTGAAGAAACCAGGCGAGTCCTTCTGCCCAACTTGAAATCGTTGGAGCTTTCTCTGGCTCCTCAATGATGGGCACCGTGCCGTGCTTCAGCACCCTCGTATCCTCCAGGAGCTGAGGATACCTCGGGCGGCCGAGGTGGCGAAGCCACGTGGGTGGCGAACGACCAACGCTTGGTGCGCTCCGTTCGCTTTTGAGAACAACCCCCCCTTCTGATCGGAGCCCTTTCAAGGCCACGCACTCCAAGCTAAACGATCAAACCCGCTGGTGAAACCGACGACGAAGCTAACGATTCCTCCCTCGACGTTCAAACCCGCTGGACGCGACGTGGAACGCATCGTTTTTTGTCCAAGTCACGTGAGTTGAAGCTCGGTCATCGCAATGCTGGCGGCTGTCTTTCCGTCCACCGACTGGACAGACTTCAGGTTGCAATTGGCTCCTGAGTCGAGAATCGGTGAAGACATGGTTCATGGGTGTAGTTTTTAAAACAGGAGTTATCAACACCTATATGTTAGACAACTGATCATATATACTAGCTGGTATATAATATACGATCAGTTGTCTAAGTTGCCTACCTCAAATTTGAAAAGAATCCGAAAAAACATGTCAGAAACACGAATGGGTGTGGGGAATTGCATGTGGCAGGTGACATCGCCAGGTGACGAAACGTGAGCGATTCCGACATACCAGCTGTGACATCCAGCATGGCCAGGAAGGCCTCCCGAAAGGGATTGGGCACCATGTTGCGCCCGGTCATCGCAGCTGCAGTGCGCAACTCCTTCTGCCAATACCTTGTCCACACGATGCACGAACAGTGTGTTGACATGGGACTACTACCACTCACACAAGGGAGACTGAGACCTCCGACAGCAAACGTATCCAAAGCATGAAGGATGTAAAGGTCCTTACATGTCCTTGCAGTATCTTGCAGTCTATGACGTGCAGCATGGACCTGAAAGGCATTCACTTGCTGGCTCGGGGCTCATCACGGTGCTTCTTGGCTTGCTCCAAAAGAGTCTTCTTCTCCTAGTGGCGATGAACTTGCTACTAGTAGCGATAGCCTTGTCACTAGTAGTGATACCCTTGTCACTAGTAGTAATGCCCTTGTCACTAGTAGTGATACCCTTGTTACCATTAGCGATACACTTGTTACTAGTAGCAATGCCCTTGTTACTAGTAACTAGTAGCGATGCACTTGCTATAGCAGAGTCTTCTCCTCCTCGGAGAGCTCATCATCTATTTGCGGTTGCAAAGCCCAATCTTCCATTGCCCGGGCAGCAAACTCCTCAGCGAACGCAATTGCACTGTCCTGCGCCGTGCCGGATGGGCTGCGTGGAGGGAGGTTCCCGGCGTGTCGGATTTATCGGACATCCGTGCGCGCCGGGCAAACCGAGAAACCTTTCGTGTCACTCCACGTCGCACCAAGCCCTATCGGGTGTGAGGAGTGACAGGTGGTTTGTGATGGTCTTGTGACAAGTCTTGGGTCAAGAAGTGCAAACAAATACAAGGGTACTGGAAACCTTGCAGCCTCTGGATTGAACAGGAACATATCATTTCATGTACACATATACGCACAAAAATAAGAACCTCTCTACAACAAACAATCTTGTTGACCATGGAGCTACTCTCTATCTCCAAATCAGAAGGGAATTGGTGTCATGGTAGTGTGATCAGTGGAATTGGTGTCATGGTAGTGTGATCAGTGATCAGTATGGATACCGGAAGGGCAGATTCTGTCTTCTACCATCTTCTACCCATGGGAGTTGCCAGGCACTTCTGAGCCTGAAACATTCTTCCAGCTTTCCAACCCCCGCCTCAGTGACCCAGCCACCAGCAAGCTGTTCCATTGCATCGATCTGTTTGGAAGGCACGGATGGTAAAAGGAGGAGCCTCAGTTTTGCCAACCCCTGCTGGAAGCATGGGAGATGCAAACACTGGAGCAGGATATTATACAAAGCATGCATCCGCATCGTTTCTTACTCGACATATTTCTGGTTTCGCAAGCCAGTGTGTATGACTGGAATTGCAGCAAACACCATGAGCTTCTGAATAAAACAAGAATACACTGACAAACATGGATTTGAGCAGTTGCTTGAAGCATAGAAAGACAACGTTGAAGCTAAGTGCTAAGTCCAAATAACTCAATGATCGGCATCAGTGCGCAACCAATACCTATCTCGCGAAGTGTTCTTGCGTAAATGGCCACTGTTCGCAGTGTCAGGGACACATTGAGGTCATTGGACATGGGCGGAGGTGCCGCACAAAGCTCGGCAGCCTGTGCAGCACCTGCCAATCCACAAGCTGTAAATTCAACGAGGAGGCAGCTTGGTTCCCCTGAAGAGGATGCCGTAGATGCAGTACTTTGGCAGGATCGACTGAAGGGACTGGGAGAGGGCAGAACGTCAAGGAGATGCCCCGAGGAGATCGCCTCGACATTCCTCGAGATCGGGCCACGTGACCAAAGAAGAAGGTGGCAACCCCAAGTTTACTGCGACACCCTCAACGGTGGGAAGAACCCCCCAGGTACCAGTACTGAACATGGCGCATTTTTTTCACCAGCTTCATTGCTGCAATCCTCACCCCCCAAAAGCTGCTATTTTTGATGTTTCAAGCGTCGGAAAAGCTATGCCCCAGTGGTTTGCCGTTGCCTTCATCGAAGTCAATGAGCTCAAGTGGGCCACGACGCTTCCCACCACCATGCCGGAGATCAGCTCGGCCATCTCTGGTAGCTTCAAGGAAAGAAGTTCACCCAGAAAGTCCCAGAGGTCCTGGACGGGCGTCGCACGCGTCAGCTCCGAGCGTAGCTCTTACCGCCAGCCATGCAAATCCAATGACCCTGACAGGTGGTGGCGAACTTCATCTCGATTTTGGGTGATGTACACTCCCTGCAACTAACATGGAAGTGGAGAATGGCCCTTTGGAAGACCATTTTCCACTACAAACAGGTGGTTTTCCACTTCCATATTAATTCCAGGGAGAGGACTCCTCCAAAATCCACCTCCCAAACCCGGCAACACTCATCAAACTTCACTTGCCCCTTTGGGTCCTCTTCGCATTCTGCCCCAACTCGGAAGAGTGATTCGTTGTGCTGCATTGAAGCTTGGGCCATCATGAGCCAGTTCTTCCGCAACAGGGTGCACAGGAGCATCGGCAACCTTGGACCGGAACGTGCTAGCAAGAAGGGCCATAAGCTCCAAGTGTGAGCTATGCACACGTCTTGCAGTGCAAGTGCAGACCTTTGAACATCAACACCAAACATATAGTGAAACACTGATGACCAAACCGAGCATCTCGGATCTTGCAATGTCCAAGGCGATGCACAGTAGCTCCTGGTTCTGCTTGAGCGTTCGCCAAAGCGAGAGCTGGGCGTTGCGCGCCTGCGTTCGCACCAGAGCTTCTTCGTAGGCCGCGTAAGCCACGGCCCTGCGAAACACCGGCAAGTCGCGATCTCCTGTCATCAAATTTCGGAGGCTCTCCACGCTGGTGCGCGTGCAAACGGTCTTCAGGGCCGAGACAAAGGATTGCAGGTGCTCCTGACGAGCACGAGGTGCCTTTTCTTTTGCCAAAGGCTTGCACCTGTTTCTGTTGAAGATTTCGAGAGTTCGTTTTCCCATGGCTTTGACACGGTCAATGACACGTGTTCTTTGGAAAACAAACGAACATCTCTCCACCGAACAAAAGCGTTTCGAAACGAAACCACACGTCGCTCCTGGACGGAGAGATCTGGCTCGGAGAAGAGCTGGTTAAGAGCAGCCCCCTCTTCTTGGATGAGCTGGTCAAACGTGTAATCCTGCAGTCAAGACTCAATCCAAAGCATGTAGTTCATTCATGTCACTCATTAAATACTTGCCATAGGGAGACATGTTTTCTTTTTTTACTTCAATGACCTTCGGCACCTTATGCCTTGATGTTGTGTGCCGGTGGCATCGATAAGTAGTTGGCATTGACACATCTCTGTCCTTCACATTCTGCAGCACCAAGCATAAGGACTGCCATCCTTGCGCCTTGATCGACGGGCTCAATCGGACAGAGAGCAAGCAGCTGACGAGCATGTGCAGCCCGCGATGGTTCAGAAAGGCTTGGATGATGGCTTGGTCCTTTCGAGAGCC